AGTATAATAGCATTCTTTGGAGCTTCACCATTACATACTACTAAAACCTAAGGCATAAATAAAAAGAAAATACTCAAAAATGAAAGCAGATAAGCAGATTTAACAAAAATTTAGCATATAATAAATTCCTATAGGGTTCATGAACTAAGACTGTGACATAGTCTGGAGGTTAAATACCAAATTACCAATACCATATATTGGGATATTTTTGAGTAGCCAAATTTTTGCAGGTTTCACGTTTTTTTGCTCGGTTGCAAAAATAAAAATTGTGAAATTCTGCATTATTATTACCATGTCGTGGAGTTTGCGAGCTATTCTCAAAAATTTATTTCATAATATCTCACAAATTCAAGATTTGCAAAAAAATTAGCAGCACAAAAATATCCCAGTATACAGTAATTTAGAACCTGCTATGGAGATTTATTAACCCCTAGAAAATGCTCCACAAATAAAAAATCAATATAAAGGTGTATGAACCATATAATTAAAAAAACAGTCAGCAACTGACGTTTGAGTCAAAATTCTGCCATCAAGTACAATTAATTTTATACACCAGGAAATTCATGGATTTAAGCACAAATATAACAAAAATTAACACCACAAAAAACATCATGTACATGTATATGGTATATGATAAACACTGGTAAAATAATTTTATCAATTTATCAAACCTTGCAGAGATGGTATTACAATTAATACAGTTCTTACTAGTATATTGTACTGAACAGTCCCATTAGATACATTAAGTGTAGTAGTGTCATTTAGTGCAGGCCTAGGAACTATATAACAAACATTTTGTTATCTTTAAAATTTTAATAATTATTCTATACCTTTATAATTAAAACATGTAGTATTGTTAGGTATTCCTTTTCCAAGTAGATTAACTGGAGTGACACTGATGTCATAACTGTGATGGTCCACATTCTTCTCTTTAAATTCATAATGAGTATTGCTGGTATTCGATAAAACGTCATTAATATTCAATTCGTAATACAATATATCACAGAGGATATATGTACACTTAGGACTATTCCAAGTGACAGTGATAGTGTCACAGGTAATATTATTTAACGTAATGTTAATAACTGGCCCAGAAGTGCCTGTAATGTACAAACAGAAGAATAAATAGTATATACTGACATATGACTTACTGTACCTAGAGCAAAAGATGATACATCATTAAATTCACCTCCTTGTACT